CATGCATGCATGTATGTATGCATGTATGTATGTATGTACGTATGTATGTATGTATGTATGTATACGTATTATATGGTATTTAGTATCTATATGTATATACGTATATATATATATACGTGTATATGTATATATATATATGTTATTATATGTGTATGATTGATTATGTATATATGATTATGTTTATATGATTATGTATATATGATTAAGTATATATGCATGAGTATGTCTCTATATATATATGTATGTGATTATATGACAGTATGATTATATGTATATATGATTATATGTGTATATGATTATATGTATATGTATATATGATTATATGTATGTATGATTATATGTATGTATATATTGTTATTAGATTGCATGAATGATGATAAGATTATATGATATGTATGACTATATGACTATATGTATGATCATATATTTTATATGTGTAATACTTTGTGCCAAGAAGGAAAGAAAAATCGCGAAAATGAAAATGAAGCATCTAAACAAACAACATAAAACATCCTGTAGATACTTTATGGGCCGTGAATTCTGCAGATCGCGAAAATGCAAATTTTTCAGCTATGTCATGGCAGCTCTTCATGGCTATACCTCAATAGTACCCCTATCATCAGGTAGACGGCCGGTACCAGATGTCTGATTGGCTTGGGTATGTTTGATCTGACACTACTTCCGCTGCTTCTAGGCAGATCTGATTACCCACTTTGCGTTGAAGAATAGGCCAACAACAGCTCCCCAACTCCGTTTGAAATTTGGATTCCTTCAGCTGGCTATTGGAGGTCTCTATATATATTCGTGCTTTGGGGTGATAAGAACAGTAAACTGTGTCAAACCTATGGGTGGTTTCAAGTCGCATAGTATGTATTTCAGTAGAAGCTGGGACCCTGCTATGAATTGGGGCCAACAAAGCTTCACTTTTAGTTGCAAAACCAAAACCATCTAATTTTGACCGATACCCGGTTGGCTTCCTCTGCAAATACAATAAATCCACTAATTAATTAAGTTAATCAGAATCATCATGTTTCCTATTAAAGTTGATGTCTTTTTGGATGTAGATAGCATTTTCCAAAGGCCACTTGACAGAGACAATCATAGCATCCCCAGCAAGGCCACCCCAAGGCCACCAAGCCTCCACCTTCCTCCAGCGTAGGTCGGGGCCTCCAAAAAAGGGACTTAAGCCCTCAAAAATTGCCATCATGGGGGGAAAATTATGATTAACCAGTTGATTCACCAGTTCATTCACCAGTTTTTTTTTCACCAGTTCATTCACCAGTTTTTTTTCACCAGTCTTTTTTTCACCAGTTCATTCACCAGTTTTTTTTTCACCAGTTCATTCACCAGTTTTTTTTTCACCAGTTTTTTTCACCAGTTGTTTTTTCACCAGTTTTTTTTCACCAGCTTTTTTTCACCAGTTTTTTTTCACCAGTTTTTTTTCACCACTTTTTGTTCACCAGTTTTTTTTCACCAGCTTTTTTTCACCAGTTTTTTTTCACCAGTTTTTTTGTCACCACTTTTTGTTCACCAGTTTTTTTTCACCAGTTCATTCACCAGTTCATTCACCAGTTCATTCACCAGTTCATTCACCAGTTCATTCACCGGTTCATTCACCGGTTCATTCACCAGTTCATTCACCGGTTCATTCACCAGCTCATTCACCAGCTCATTCACCAGCTCATTCACCAGTTCATTCACCAGTTTTTTTTTCACCAGTTCGTTCACCAGTTTTTTTTTCACCAGTTTTTTTTTCACCAGTTTTTTTTTCACCAGTTTTTTTTTCACCAGTTCATTCACCAGTTTTTTTCACCAGTTTGTTTTCACCAGTTTTTTTCACCAGTTTTTTCACCAGTTTTTTTCACCAGTTTTTTTCACCAGTTTTTTTTTCACCAGTTTTTTTTCACCAGTTTTTTTCACCATGTTTTTTTTTCGCCAGTTTTTTTTTCACCAGTTTTTTTTTCACCAGTTTTTTTTTCACCAGTTCATCCACCAGTTCATTCACCAGTTCATTCACCAGTTGATTCACCAGTTCATTCACCAGTTCATTAACTGGTCTGATCAACCAGTTGATTAACCAGTTTATTAACCAGTTGATCTAGGACCCGATGTTCAAACCCAAATGCTTCCTTTACTGGTCCATTTGGGTGTCTCTCATTTTGGAAGCCCATTGGAACCGGAACCCCTTTCCGCGCCATAAAGTATCCCATGTTGGAACCTTGGAGACGGCAAAGGCTGAGGGCTGGGAGTCAAGAGATCCTTGGTACTTGCAACCTTGGAGGCCGGGATGCAGATATTTCCCATCCATGGCATGGCCGGAACTTGCACTGTGAAATTTGATCATCCCACATCCAATGTGGAAGTGTAGCATGATCTGTCGCTATTGTCGCCATTCTCCTGTTTTGGCACTACGGATAAAAATATGCATGATCCTACCAGATAGATGCTTCCCGGTCTGCACGAACCAAAATTGCATTGTTGACAAAATACCTCCTAAAGATATACAATTTACAACCCAAGAGTGGATTCCAAGAACTTCGATTGCCAAATATATGTCTGTGTTTACAAACAACAATATCAGTATGAGTCCAACGTTAGGTACCCAAAAATACTACAGTATCATTACAATAATTTCAAAACGTGAGCGAAATCTCTAGTCCCATGGCTTCAATTTTGACACAGTGTCACACCGCTCTTGTCAGCAGTCCATGGGTCCTTCTCAGAAGCCAACAGAACTGGGCACGGACTTTACCTCTCGCGGAAAAAAAGGACTCAATCCAGCTTTGCAACCCAACGGCAACGACTGAAAACAAGAACTCTGTATATCTAGAACAATTGAAACTAACGTAAACAACCAACCCTTTCTGATGAACGGTGATGAACCTTTTGTGCACAACTTGTCAATTTTTTGCCAATGTCGCACGTTTGGAATTCCATGAACGGATGAATTGAACGAAGACCAACACTGGGGTCGCACATGGGTTCTCGAAGAAAATATATGGTTTCTTGTAGTTCACCATTTCGCTTTCCGTGGTTTGGGATACATATACATAGTTTTTTTTACAAAAAAAAAGGAAAACACTCAAAAATCGCTCAAGTGAATGGTTTTTCATGAACTGTTTTGGTCTTTTCGCAACATGTCTCGCAGTGCTCATCAAACTGGGCATCCGACCCCACGTCGTTCCTGCCATGACATACATTTTCCATGGAGACTTGTTCCCAAAAAAAAATAACTGAAATAAATCTGACATGCACACTCTGGTGACTAGTTTGAATTGGTTCTGGTTGAGTCTATGGATGGAAAGATCTTGAAGTGTCAGTGGTTCAGCTGAGGGCAGAAGATCCCGCCTCCCGGTGGGTTAGCCTTCCAGCTGATTGTTCAAAGATTTTGTTCCAGGCCTGGCAGAAAGTCATAACTCTGTACAGTTTTCGCAACAATTCCGGCAGTGCTCAATGTCACAGCACTGCAGAAGCAATCCATATCCGCCATATCCGCCTCCGCCTCCTCTCGAATCTTGCGGCCTGTTTCAGGATCGTGGGAAAGACTGATGAGGCTGGCCTGCAGCATTCTGCAAATTTCGAGAGATATCTGGGGGCAAGGGAAGGCCTGAACGCAAGAAGCCAACTTGTTCAAATAAAGGTCACAAAAAAGGAAGGCTTTGTTGCGGCAACGAGAAATCTGCAACTAATATCGAAGGTTGAAGACTGGCAAAAGTCTTAAAGTGAACGACCCGGAAACTCAGACATTGGTTTTCCATGGTTTTCCATTCAACATTGAAATGCCAGCGGTAGGGACAAAGCCTCTTTGCTTTGGGAGCAAGCCACTCGGCTGCTCGAAATGGGTGTAGAATAGTTTTTGGTATTTTTTGCCTCAGGTTTTGGATATTTTTTTGGTTTTCTTTCCCAGTACCATTTGCCTTGTATTTGCAACAGTTTGGAACTAGAACCTGTCATTTTGCATGGTATTTGCTAAATTTTGGCATGGTCACTTTGCATTTTGCATGGTATTTGCTACATTTGGCCATGTTTGCCTTCCATTTTGCATGGTATTTGTCACATTTTGGCATTTCAACCTCTCATTGGCATGGTATTTGCTACTGTGGAAGGTAAAGTACATTTTAACACTGGAACTGAGAAGTGTAACAAGTTTTTCTATGTATATAGATTAGGTTTGTTTACACTTGGGTGCGTGACGCTTGGCAACCGCCAGTGGCTTCTGTGTTGGACCCCGTAACAAACAACCTCTCGATGGACCCTTCGGATATTGAGGGCGTGCTTTGGCAAAAGTGGCAACCTATCTTCTGTCCTGACCCGGACCAAGAATCCTCGCCTGACTTTGATGCTTATTGGAGTCGCTGCCCCTGTTACCCTGCCACCCCTGACGGGTGTACAGTTGCGTGATGCTGTGCTTCGCATGTCCGACCATTGTTCTAGTGGGGCTGACGGCTGGGCTATCTCCGAAATCAAAACCTGGCCTCCTTTGCTTTTTGACAAACTGGCTGAGTTCCTGTGTGCGGTTGAAGCCTCTGATGGTGACTGGCCCGAAGATCTCTTGCTGCAAATTGTGACCCTAGCGCCAAAAAATGAGTTTGACCAACATCCAATTTCGGTCAATTCGGTCGTCTATCGCATGTGGGCCTCTGTCAGGGCAACCCAGCTTTGCTCTTGGCAGGAGTCTTGGACGCAGTTTGGCTATCGTCGTGGCAAACGTAGTGTTGACCCTGCTTGGTGTTCTGCAGCTGCTGCTGAGCATGCCTGGCTTTCACAGGCCCATCGTGTTGGGTTTTCCTTGGACCTGGCAAAAGCATATGACCGCATTCCGCATGAAATCCTTTATAAGTGTTTGATTGCTTCTTTCTGGTCTTCCGGTCAACTTTTGCAATACTTGGCTTTCGGCAATTCGTGGTGCTCGTAAATACTTGAAGTCCGCTTACGGCTTGGGTCGTTCTTTCCATGTCACTCGTGGTCTTCCCCAAGGTGATGCGTTGGCTTGTTTTGGCATGAACCTCATCATGTCCATTTGGTCCCGTGCTGTGGAGTCTGAATCGGATGTCTCTGTCCGTAGCTTTGCCGACGATGCAACAGTCGCAGTTGAGCGATCCGACCCGTCCATTGCGGTCGCTCAGCTTCAGAAGGCCATCTCGGTTACTGAAGGGTTCACAACGTTGAGTGGCCAAAACCCAAATGTTGGCAAACGTCACGTGTGGTCCACCTCTCGCAAAGGTCGCAAAGCGCTTTGTGCAAGGGAGATGGAGGGGCTGGACTTTTTTCCGGTTGAGGGAGTTGCATCTTCCTCAGAAGTTCCAAGACTTCATCCAGACATGATCCAGTGGAACCCACCAGAACAAGAACAACCTTGGAGACCTCCAGTACAAGCAGGTGCTTCAACAAGCAGTCAGCGGAGGGGACAGGTGACTGCAACAGAAAGAGGACGTTTGGCTTTGGGAGTTGTCCGAGCTGAAGGGCATGCGGGACCATTGACATCAAGGGGGTCGGCGCCTTCGGTGGCTTCAGATGGAAGCTGGTCGGTGGCGGGATCTGCCAATGTCAAGGGCTCGCTGGCTTCAAATGCTGGGATCCCAAAAAATGACCATATCGATGCAGACCGAGTGGTGGCGAGGGCGACAGGGATGGCTGGGAGGTCTACTTCGTCCTGTACAAGCTCAAGTGCATCAAAGGAGGTGAACCAGGCAGAAGGGTACAGGGTGGATCCAATGCTGCCCACGTTGGAAGAGCCCTTCGTGAACTCAGCCTTCCCAAAAGGGAGCACAGTTTTGATGCGGCCAAAACCACAGCCGAGCAGATGGGCGGATGGACCAACGATTTCCATCAGAGAGGGTGAGACTTCGCGAACTGCGATGCTGAGGGCATTGCAGGCCCGTCCTCAGAACCTGTGGATGAGACGCCGCTGGATCGATGCAACAGATATCAGACGTCGATGCGGTCAGATGTTTCAGACCGAGACCTATGGGATTTTCTGCATGGGGTTTGTCCTGATACTCCAGCTCCTGAAATCCCAGGTGATGAAGAAGATCACAACAAGGCGGCGGAGTCGGAATCAGAAATCACCGACGGCAGCTATTCAGTGATGAGTTCCGAGGAAAGCATGCCGCCGAGTGATCCGAAGCTCTTTTTCGACGAGGTCTACGACGTCTGAAAGGGCTGAAGTTTCTTGGGCCTAAAACGGGCCATGGAATCTTCTCAGGTTGCCGTGATACGGCAAGGGGGAGTGTGGAAGGTAAAATACCTTTTAACACTGGAACTGAGAAGTGTAACAAGTTTTTCTATGTAGATTAGCATGGCCACCTGCTAGGATGACACTCTTGGCATGGCTTGCGCAAGGATCACACGCCACAAATCGACTGTGGCATATGGCTCAAGAAAAAAGGACCCAGCCGCTGACGGCGGCACTCGTCCCAGCTCAGCTACATTTTGGTACTTCAAACGTTCATGTGGGTCTCTTGAGGGTTCTTTAGGCTTTCATTTAGGGTGTCATTTAAGGTTTCATTTAGGGTTTTATTTAGGGCTTCATTTGGGGGTTTTATTTAGGGTTTCATTTAGGGTTTCTTTAGGGTTTCGTTTAGGGTTTCATTTAGGGTTTCTTTAGGGTTTCAGTTTGAGTTTCACTTAGGGTCTCATTTAAGGTTTCTTTAGGGTTTCATTTAGAGTTTCTTTAGGGCTTCTCTAGGGTTTCATTTAGAGTTTCATTTAGGGTTTCATTTAGGGTTTCTTGGATTTCATTTAAGGTTTCTTTGGGGGTTCAATTTAGGATTTCAATTTAAGGTTTCATTCAGGAGTTCATTTAAGCTTTCTTTAGGGTTTCGTTCCAGGGTTTCTTATCAGGATTTCTTGTCACGATTTCTAAACGTTCAAGTGGGTTCCTTTAGGGCTCCATTAGGGTTTCATTTAGAGTGTCATTTAGGGTTTTCTTCAGGGTTTCTTTAGTGTTTCGTTTAGGGTTTCATTTAGGGTTTCTTTAGGGTGCCAATTTAGGGTTTCAGCCAAGGTGTCAGTTAAGGTTTCATTTAGTTTTTTTTGTCCAGAGTGTTGTTTAGGGTTTCTTTGGGATGTCATTTAGGGTGTCATTTAAAGTTTCTTTAGGGTTTCATTTATGGTTTCTTTAGGATTAACTTATGGTTTCTTTAGGGTTCATTTATGGTTTCTTTAGGGTTCATTTAGGGCTTCATGTAGGGTTTCTTATGAGGATTTCTTTAGGGTTTCTTTGGGTTTCACCTAGGGTCTCTCTAGGGTTTCATTTAGGATACAAACAGAACAGAATAAAGCAGAATGAAATGAAAAACAAAGAGACAGTAAAGACAGGAAGCAAAGAAGCAAAGGAGCAGGAAGTAGAGCAGCAAAAACACATGATTGAAGAAAAGAAAAAGTGGAATAGTAGAAGTAGAAAGGCACAGAAGTACATAAACAGAGAAGCAGGGAAAACAGAGAAGCAGAAAAGCAAAGAAGAAGGAAAGCAAAAAGCCGAAAAGAAGAGAAGCAGGAAAAGCAGAGAAGCAGGGAAAGCAAAAAGCAGAAAAGCAGAGAAGCAGGAAAAGCAGAGAAGCAATGTAAGCAGAGAAGCAGAAAAGCAGGAAAAGCAGAGAAGCAATGTAAGCAGAGAAGCAGAAAAGCAGAGAAGCAGAAAAGCAGAAAATCAGAGAAACAGGAAAGCATAGAACCAGGAACCAAAAAAAACAAAACTTGCCGCAAAAAAAAAAAATAAAATAAATAGCCCTCCAAAATAGCATCAGTCTTCTGCAATGCACCCCCACTGTGTTTCCGTCAATCTAGTTCTGTCAAGATAAAGGCATGGCGCGACCGTGCCTGTGTGGTCGGCTTCGATGGGAACTGTCTTCGCATCCTGTGCCGGCCGCTGGTCGTCAGTCAGAGACCGGAAGCCAAGTTTGAATGGCTGGCCATGCCTGCACCGATTGGATCCACTCCTAAGTGAGGCCAGTTCATGCAGTTCAAACTAGAACCATGTTCACCAGCTGGGGAATATCAAACTGAGTTATGTGGAAAGCATCACAAGAAACTAAATTTCCGCCATCTCTCCCAAGCCGAATCAGTTGACAAAGCACTCAAGGTGAGGGCACGAGATTTGATGACATGGTAAATGACTTAGCCAACAGTTTCAGCCTTGGTTCCCCAGGGAGCTTCCATGCGCAGATTCTTGGAGCAAAGGACCGGAGCCCTGGACATCCAACATGGACACAGCAGCTGTCTTTAGTTGTCAAGCTGAGATGGAAACTGAAAATCACCAACAGCGAAAAATATCATCGTTCATGAATTGTTGTCCAACCTTCTATTGGGATCTATTGGAAACTTTCTCTGCGGAGTTTTGTTCGTTTGGTAACACCCTGCACTTCAAGGGCTTGCGGGGTCACTCTTCTGCTTCGAAATAGCAGGAGGTTACGGTTGCAGCACCCGGTTTTCCAATCTTGCACCTAGAGGAGTGGAACTTTGCAATCTTAGCCAAAGTTGATATATTATATATATATATTCCGTACTGGATCCTGCATTGTAGGCAACCAGCCTGCACATCATTGCTCTGATCAGAAGCATTTCCTGTCCACACGGTTGGCTGAGATTTCACATCTATTGGAAAAGGATAGAAAAGGATATTCAAGGCCAGGGTGCAAAAAAAAAAAGAAAAGGGTGCACTCAGATGCTCTTTTCATGCCAAAGTGTGGCCACGTGTTTCACCCCAAGCCACCTCGAGAACATGTTTCCTTGGCACGGTTTTGAGGCAAGCCAGAACCACCCTGCATGAACAGCTAGTGATCGCGATCACTACATGTAGTGAAACACACAAAAAAAAGTTTCATACAGGATGGGGTTATAATATGTTATAATTGTATCTAAATGAGGTTATAAACTTGATTCAAACAACTTATAATTGGGGGGCACCATCCTGTCCAAGGTGCACAATGATGTCGCCGCGACATGGATCCCATCCAGCTAGACCTGCTGAAAAAATCGACACGGAAGCATGGACTCAACACCTGCTGCAAATCAAGATATCCGATATTGCAAATACATCACATACATCATATATATCGTATACATATAATACATATAATACATATAATACATATAATAGATATAATACATATAATACATATAATACATATAATACATATAATATATATAATAGATATAATACATATAATACATATAATACATATAATACATATAATACATATAATACATATAATACATATAGTACATATATACATATAATACATATAATAGATATAATAGATATAATACATATAATAGATATAATACATATAATACATATAATACATATAATACATATAATACATATAATACATATAATACATATAATACATATAATACATATAATACATATAATACATATAATACATATAATACATATAATACATATAATACATATAATACATATAATACATATAATACATATAATAGATATAATAGATATAATAGATATAATAGATATAATAGATATAATACATATAATACATATAATACATATAATACATATAATACATATAATACATATAATACATATAATACATATAATACATATAATACATATAATACATATAATACATATAATAGATATAATAGATATAATAGATATAATAGATATAATAGATATAATACATATAATACATATAATGCATATAATACATATAATAGATATAATAGATATAATAGATATAATACATATAATAGATATAATAGATATAATAGATATAATACATATAATAGATATAATACATATAATACATATAATACATATAATACATATAATACATATAATACATATAATACATATAATACATATAATACATATAATAGATATAATACATATAATACATATAATAGATATAATACATATAATACATATAATACATATAATACATATAATACATATAATACATATAATACATATAATACATATAATACATATAATACATATAATACATATAATAGATATAATACATATAATACATATAATACATATAATACATATAATACATATAATACATATAATACATATAATAGATATAATACATATAATACATATAATAGATATAATACATATAATACATATAATACATATAATACATATAATACATATAATACATATAATACATATAATACATATAATACATATAATACATATAATACATATAATACATATAATACATATAATACATCCATATATATATATGTGTATTCATATATATATATCCATATATATGCAGTGACTGTAATATATAATACATTCCCACAAAGTCCTACCAAAATCTTCTGATGGGAGGGTTTGAACTCTCACGTAGCACAAAAAGAGTGCCAACAAAGGCTTGGAACTTTCAAAGGAGTCGAGTCTCCCTTCAACCAACTGTTATCTGAACACAGCTCAAGTTCAAATTATGGATGTGCTTCTCCCATCCACCAGCACAACCATAAGGAAACTGTCCTTGTGTTTTCACATCCCATTATACATGTGTGGCTTGGTTGATATTCGTGGCCCATCCCTACATCGGCCTTCCAGCTGCACCGGCATACAAAGATCCTAAGTTGGTCCACGATGATCTGCAAACGATGAAACTATGGGTCAAATGTCAAAGGGGATGATGGGATGATTAAAAAACAGATAAATGAATTTGGGTCTGGGCCGAAAAACAAAATGATGGCTGGGACCCACAAAGATCTATTGTCTATAGTATATAGTATATAGCATGCTCATGTATTATATAATCTTGTTGCTCTCTTGGTCACAAATTTTGACAAATCTTCAAACGTCACAAAGAGGCATCCTAGCTGGGCAGGTTGCAACCGTCCCTCAGAGTCGGTAACAGCTATCACTGCCACACGGATCAGCAAGAAAGCATACCTCCCTCTCCCTCTATCCTCTCAACGGACATATACATGACTGTAAGGTGTTGCAAAGAATATCTGGACTGAAGTCATTTTTTTGCCAGTCGTTGCCTATGGCTCAAATGAAGTGCTTACTTGAGAGCATTTGCAGTATCTAGTAAGTAAGTATATATATATATCAAAACGGACAATTTCTCTCAGTGCAGCAGCCCTCCATACTCGCAAAATGGTCTCATCAAACTTCATCCCATACTTGATCCAGTCCAAGTTTCGGTAAGTGTTTAAGCGATCGTCACCGGCATCACCTTCATGTTACAGTACATGATTTTTCTTGAGGTGTGGGTTTGAGCAACAGAAAGGAACACTAGCAAATAGAAAATGCAGAGCTTGTGAACATCAAATATATTAAAATTAAAATGTATTGATTAAAATGTATTGAAATGTATTAAAATGTACTAAAATATAGTTAAAAATGTGTTTTGGAAAAACTGACTAAACAAATGCCATTCGTCCAAAATCAGCCACCATGCCTTTCGGCTTCTGCTCAACCGGCCAATGAGGCGATGCCTCACAAGTGGCGTCCATGATCCGTCGGGGGTTGAGTCATGAGACGATCAGAGATGATCAGAGTCATCAGTCATCAGATGTCAGCCTCCTGAATTTGGTAGTTGTCTGAAGCACCAGGAGCATCGTGAATCAGTCGGATGCCTGAGCGCCTCCAAGAGATTCAGACCCGCACCAGTCAGATAGTCTGGATACGGAATCCCTTTCACACTGGTCAAGTCACTCATTCAATGAATTCCAGGCAGTCTGTTCCATCTGTGGTCCTATTCATTCATTTCATGCATGATTCAGTGGATCTTTGGTTTTGACTGACACAAACAGCAACCTGGAGCCCAAAGCATGCCTCGTCGGCTCCACTACTGAAGATGTATCGGACAAGGGGCTGCCCGGAAGGCTAGAAGTCAGGGTGCAGGTACTGCTCACCAAACCAGCATAACCCTCTAGGTCTGCCAGGGTTGAAAACTGCGGAGCCTTTCGACCTCCATCCGCCCGTGTGCTGGGTTGGCCAGCACAACCACCCCAGACTTGTCGAAGGACTTCAGGATGAGGCGGTGCCTTCATCGTGGAGCTTCCAAAGACCACCTCGCACAGCGTCCCAGCATCACCCTGCGAGATCCACGGCACAGAACGCCTCCGATGCTTTGCCGGCTTCTCGGAGCAGCTGCGGCCCATGGTGGAGTCGCCCATCAACACCCCATTGGACGGTTGAGGCGTCGCAGACCGTTGAAGTCGCCTGAGACCTTCTCTGGAACCACCTGAGGCTGGCATGCCAGCCGGCTGCTCCATGAGGCTGCCGGGACGGATCCGATCTTCGCTGAGACCGGGATCCACCGAACCAGGACGCGTCCGCCGTTGTCCAAAAACAAGGGCATTGACCGCAGAGCTGTCTTGGTACGATCGTCCCTGGTCAGGGATTTCGGAATACAGGGCTGCCCGTCTGCTTTGCGCCTGCTCCCGTTCAAAGACCGTGGAATTGGTTGCTTCTCGACCCTGAGGCATGGGACTTGATCTTGGGTTTTTACTAGGAATGCCCAAATGTCCAAGACTCTTCGGTAAAGGTGGCTCAGATGTAGCTCTCCCACCCCCTGGCCGAAGTGAGTGGATGGAGGTAGACTCTGAGGCTATTGAAGCGATGCCAATTGATCGTCCAGTGTCAGGTGGATCCACCTGATTTTGACTTAAACGATCCTGCTGGGCCCTCTGGTTTTGGCTCTGCAGTTTCTTCTCCCGAAGACTTTTCAGTTCGCCTGTGATCTTGGGGACCTGCACACTAGCAAACTCCAACATTTTTTTGCCAATCACAACGTTCTGAGGCAGAGACTTGAAACATCTTGAAACACTAGTTCAAGATAGTTCAAGCATTCAACATTCAATAACACCCTCAATCTCGAAACGTAAAATCGAGCCTCCTTGCGTGAAGCCGTGGGCGTCACCACCTCCCCCTTCGACACTTTGGACCCGTTGGAAGGGGACTCCGGCTGGCCAGGTAGGCGACCAGGAGCCCCAGTGCTTGGGTTCCTGACGGAAGGAAAAAAATCGATGGTTTGATAACCGACAATTTTCATGTCAAACATCGCAAAAAAAAATGCAACAAATTTTGAACAAAAACACTGAAAATTCAACAACACTTGAATACATGTTTTTTTTGTCGCGACGAATTTCCTGCGATTTGGTGGTTGGTTCGATCCGGGTTTCGATCGTGTAGGCACTTCCCTTGCATGGGTGAGTCAAAATCAAAAGAAAAAATCCTCGTTAAACGTGTTTTTTGCATTGTTGGTTTTCGGTCTGTCTGAACCACGTGCTAATACAAATCATCTGGGTGTCTTCACACAAAACAGAACAAATTGGTTCCTGCCTTTTCTGCGGAGCAGTGGTGACGTTGCCGCCTGATTATTTGTTGAACCATGGACAGAAACTGCAAATGCTACCAATCATTCCGGGGGATCGCCCACGTCAACCTGAAAAACACTAAAAGGCACAATGTGCATTTGTTATTGTTTCGATTGCTGTGAATGCAATTCAAAAACATAAACACTGCGTAGGATGTCATGGTCCCCAGCCCAAAGAACAAATCAATGTGCCTTCACCAGAAAGTTTCGTCGGGCCCTTCACCTGGTTGGTAAAAAAAATGGGATGCGGACATGCGCTGTTACTTTGGCGGCCAACACCTTGGCTGTCTGCGACCGCATAGCAACTGCTTGCCTGCCAAGGCATTGCAAGTCTGACACCCAAACAAACCATTTTTGGCTGCACATGTGTATCAAAAATGGGGCACCTGCCGTCAATTTCACTTTCACCACGTTGCCATGGCCAATGTTAGCCGTAAGCAAAGTACTTTTTTATTCGAATGATAAGTTATGCAAATTACGTTCATTGTTGCACAACGCATGTGCTGAGCGTTGTTTGCTGGGAGTGCGAAAAAAATCACGAAAATTGAACGAAAACGATCCTACATGATTCACGGGTATTCCTACCTCCATTTTAAACATAAACAAACAAACGGCACCAGTTAATTTTCATCAGTAGTTTGCAAGATATTGCGTGCGATTGGATTCGGTCAAGAACTGAAAGCGATTGCATGAATATATGATTGATGGGCATGTGCCCTTGCTACTGCAACACCATCTCGTGCAAATCAGGACCAAATAAATTCAACTAACACAGAATCTGGGCAACATTGAGCATGCCTCTGAATTTGTACCAAAAATTCATGGGTTTCTCTAACAAATTGGCAGGCCGCTCAACCCTCGGTTTTCCACCTGCTGTCTCTGAGCATATCTGAGCCACTGTAGGCAACGATTTGTGCGTGTCATCATGCAAACAACTGGCCATGCTAATCTTCTCTGTTTCGTTTCAACTACCTGGAACCTACATGCCTGTGCATGTGCATGAGAGGAGTAACTCAAGTTTCACACCCCACCTTGGTGCTATGCCAGCTTCGTGGTGTAGCACCACATAAATTCAATTTTGGTTCACTACAAAGCCGTCTGTGCCTCAATTAAGGTTCCGGTTTGGTTGAACCTCAGCCACTCTCAATATGTCCACTTCGATCAGCTGGAGTATATGGTGCTCTGATTTGTCTCATGCATTCATTGCGCACCACTTTGCCCAGCATCACCACAGCAGCTAGGCAATGTCAATGAGAGCTTCGATTTCGGCCATCGCACGGGAGTAGTTGCTAGCCTCCTCCCAGTTGCCATCCACTTCTGCTATATTGCGCCTCATCCTCAAAGATTCCAGCACACTCCGCAGTCGAAGCTGATTGGCTCTGGAGAATGCCACCATACGCTCGTAGTTGTTCACATCAAGGTTTCCATAGTGGGTCTCTGCCCGTTCTTCTGGGTCTGATACTTCCTCCTGACTGGAGGACATATATCGTGCCCTCCTTTCAGCAGGAGTTTCATCCACTTCCATCTTATCATCTTCTTCTTCTACTTGAGAGGGGGAGGACGAAAGGTAGGTGGGGGTGTCTCTCAACAATTTTTTGCGTTCATTCTGTTTCAATATATATCGAACTTTCCCTTCCCCCTAGGTGCCTCTCAATTTCCTGCATCCATTTCGTTTCATGCGTAGACTTCCCCTATTGGCCTCTCCGCCACTTCTTACGTTTTTGCTGTTGCAATATCCGAACTTCCCCGGCATCAACAACTTCCTGCATGCATCTTGTCTCAATATCTAAATTCCACCCACCCCGTGCCACAGTCAGTAATAAGAACCACAAGCTAGACAATGTTAGTCAGTTTGTTGGCAGCCTATGCGAATTAGAGGGGCCAAGGTGCCTCAACCGATCGACGCTCGGTTGAGGCACTTTGCGTGTAGGTCTGTATGGATGTAACCTTCATGCGGCTAAGTGCGTGAAGATGTCTGAAGCAAAAACAACATCAACAACTGCAGGAGACGAAACCGTCCTTGTTTCATGGGAACTATTAAAAGGCTTGCGGCTCAGGGACAAGTGTCGCTGCGAAGGGACATACTGCTATTGTTTTCTTTCCTGCATCCATTTCGTTTCATGCGTAGACTTCCCCTATTGGCCTCTCCGCCACTTCTTACGTTTTTGCTGTTGCAATATCCGAACTTCCCCGGCATCAACAACTTCCTGCATGCATCTTGTCTCAATATCTAAATTCCACCCACCCCGTGCCACAGTCAGTAATAAGAACCACAAGCTAGATAATGTTAGTCAGTTTGTTGGCAACCTATGCGAATTAGAGGGGCCAAGGTGCCTCAACCGATCGACGCTCGGTTGAGGCACTTTGCGTGTAGGTCTGTATGGATGTAACCTTCATGCGGCTAAGTGCGTGAAGATGTCTGAAGCAAAAACAACATCAACAATTGCAGGAGACGAAACCGTCCTTGTTTCGTGGGAACTATTAAAAGGCTTGCGGCTCAGGGATAAGTGTCGCTGCGAAGGGACATACTGCTATTGTTTTCTTATCTGACATTAGCATTGTCCATGACCTGTGAAGAACATCGAATGGTCTCGTAAAGTATTCCAGTTGGATCATGGAGCTCAGCTGCGTGTCTGTGATGCGCGTAGAGCACCGAATTGAGAAGAAAGTTAAGGGACCGCAAAACCCCACAAGTCAACTTCTTCCAATAATGATCAACAAATTTTGCAGCGGGGACGGGGAAGGAAGGAAAGACAAAGGAGGAGGTGGAGGAAAAATGGTTTGTGACAAAGTTGGGTGTGTGAAAGATGGTGTGGTGAAAGATGGTGTGTGTAAGATGGTGTGTCAAAGATTGTGTGTGAAAGATGGTGTGTGACAAAGTGGTGTGTGAAAGATCATGTGTCGAAGATGGTGTGTGACAAAGTGGTGTGTGAAAGATGGTCTGTGACGGTGTGTGAAAGATGGTGTGTGGCAAAGTGGTGTGAAAGATGGTGTGTCAAAGATGGTGTGTCAAAGATGGTGTGTGAAAGATGGTGTGTGAAAGACGGTGTGTGACAAAGTTGTGTGTAAGATGGTGTGTCAAAGATTGTGTGTGAAAGATGGTGTGTGACAAAGTGGTGTGTGAAAGATCATGTGTCAAAGATGGTGTATGACAAAGTGGTGTGTGAAAGGTAGTGTGTGTCAAAGTTGTGTGTGAAAGAGAGGGTGTGACAAAGTTGTGTGTAAGATGGTGTGTCAAAGATTGTGTGTGAAAGACGGTGTGTGACAAAGTGGTGTGTGAAAGATCATGTGTCAAAGATGGTGTGTGACAAAGTGGTGTGAATACCCCAGCGGTGTCCACGGCGCCAAATCCACCCCAAGCGCGCCACCAGAGCCAGCCAAGTGCCATACGTGCCACGCCGGCCACACAAAGTGGAGGTGTCGCCAAGTGCCACGCCTGCCACGCAAAGCGACGCTCGATGACGCCAAGTAACCCAAGCGCGCCACCAGAGCCAGTCCAGTGCCAGAAGTGCCGCGCCTGCCACGCAAAGTGAAGGTCCATGTCGCCAAGTGCCACGCCTGCCACGCAAAGCGACGCTCGATGTCGCCAAGTGCCACGCCTGCTACGCAAACAGCGGTGTGTGTGGACAAGTTGCATGTGTAGACGTATGTGAGGAAGTTGTGTGTGAGGAAGTTGTGTGAGAACAAGGTGTGGTGTGTGTGTGTGGACAAAGTGTGTGGTTGTTGTGTGTGTGAGTAAGTTGTGTGTGTGAGCAAGTTGTGTGAGGACAAGTTGTGCGTGGACAAGTTGTGTGTGTGGACAAGTTGTGCGAGCATTTGTGTGTGTGGACAAGTTGTGCGAGCATTTGTGTGTGTGAGTAAGTTGTGTGTGGACAAGTTGTTTGAGCATGTGTGTGAGTAAGCTGTGTGTGAGCAAGCTGTGTGACGACAAGTTGTGTGTGGACAAGTTGTGTGTGAGTAAGTTGTGTGTGAGCAAGTTGTGTGAGGACAAGTTGTGTCTGCACAAGTTGTGTGTGGACAAGTTGTGTGTGGACAAGTTGTGTGTGAGCAAGTTTCGTGATGACAAGTTGTGTGAGGACAAGTTGTGTGGTTGTGTGTGCACAAGTTGTGTGTAGACAAGTTGTGTGTGAGCAAGTTGTGTGAGGACAAGTTGTGTGTGCACAAGTTGTGTGTGGACAAGTGTGTGGAACATGCACAGAACGAAGCCAGTTGCCGTGGACACGGTAACTGGCTTCGTGCCACAGTTCATGTAGTAGTTGCTTCTCCTCCGGGTTTTCTAAGGGCCCTGCTAGGACCATGGCATGCACCCAGCTATCGCTGCTGGGCCCGTGGCTGCAACTGCACGACGTATACAACTACATATGTATGTATCTATGCCAACATGTTGCAGGCATGTGCAGTATGTGAATGCCAGTCCGTATGCATGCACAGCTGCGTATGCGTGCATGAACGTGCGTCGCTAGGCAGGTATGCATGCATGTATGCAAGCATGCATGTACTTGTGTCTGCAAGTATGTACATGTCTAGGTGCATACGCCTGCAGGCATGTTGGCAGATGCAGCTTTGTAGCTGTGCAATGTGTAGGGGTGTAGCTGTGGAGGAATGTAGGCCTGCAGGGACGTTCACGTGTGGGTATTTAATGAGAACAAAGACGGAATGACGGCATGTGGTACGTAGAAATGTCGGTTCCTAAGTATGTACACCTGTATGCATCTATGTATCCATGTATGTATGCAGGCCTGCATGAATGTTTCTAACACATTCAGTATGAATGTCTGCAAGTCTGCATGTATGCATGTAGGAAGGATGTATGCAAGTGCATCTGATCGTCTGTGCGTGAGATGTATGCACATATGTATGCAGGCATGTATGCAGGCATGTATGCAGGCGTGGATGAATGTACGCATCAATCAATGTATGCAGGTATATATCAACATAGCAATGTATTGATGCATGCATGTACGCCTCCATGTATGCATGAAGGTATATGCCTGTGTGTGTGTATGGACGAAGCAGTTCGTCCTCTCGATTGGAAAGCTGCAGGCTAATGGAGGGGAGCGGAGGGTTCGCAAATTTATGCCCAGGAGTGTTTGGAGGGACATCGCATTTTGGATCATCTTCTGAGTGTCGAGCTGGGAACAGTAGCAGCTGCTTGTCATGCCAATCCAGCATGCATGCGCAATCATGCAACCCTGTGACATTCTAGGGCATGAGTAGCAATACATGGTGCTCCAATACACCAGATTGATAGTGGGAGGACAGAGCGCTGCAATCGAAGAGAGCAGTTGCGGAAGAGGAGA